AACCGGCGACCGACACCACCTACCATATAAAGCCTCATAAGGAGCCATCTGGATGCTCGACTGGTAGCTGTTGTTGTAGGCAAACTCCGCTAAAGGCAAGAACTAATCCCACGAGCCACCAAAGTCAATGACACAAGCTCGGAGCATATCCTCCAAAATCTTAATAGTGCGCTCGGACTGCCCGTCTGTCTGAGGATGAAATGCTGTGCTCAACTCGACCCGTGTGCCCAAGCCACGCTGAACTGCTATTTGGAAATGTGAGGTAAACTGTGTACCTCAGTCCGAAATGATAGACACGGGCACACCATGAAGACGAACAATATTCCGGATATAGATCTCAGCTAACCTCTCGGAAGAATATGAGACTGCCACCCAAATGAAATATGCTGACTTGGTTAGCTTATCAACAATAACCCACACTGTATCGAACTTCCTCTAAGTCCGTGGGAGTCCAACAACGAAGTCCATAGTGATACGCTCCCACTTCCACTCAAGAATCTCAATCTTCTGGAACAAACCACCAGGTCTCTAATGCTCGCACTTTACCTGTTAACAATTCAAACACCGAGCCACATATGCAACAATATCCTTTTTCATCCTCCTCCACCAATAATGTTACCGCAAATCTTGATACATCTTAGCGGTGCCCGGATGAATAGAGTACCAGGAACTATAGGCCTCGTCTAAAATCAACTCTCAAAGTTTATCCACATTAGGCACGCAAACTCGACCCTACATCCTCAAAACTCCATCATCTCCTAATGTAACCTGCTTGGCACTTCCGTGCTGCACCGTGTCCCTAAGGAAACACAAATGAGGATCATCATACTGCCGATCTTGTATACCCTCAAATAATGATGAATGAGCAACTGTGCAAGATAACACACGACTAGGCTCAAAAACATCCAACCTCACAAACTGATTGTCCAAAGCCCGAACATCCAAAGCAAGCGGTCTCACCAACCGGAATATACGCAAGACTACCCATACTGACTGACTTTCTACTCAAAGTATCGGCCACCACATTGGCCTTTCCCGGATGATATAAGATGATGATATCATAGTCTTTCAATAGCTCCAACCACCTTCTCTGCCTCAAGTTTAGCTCCTTCTACTTGAACAAATACTGTAGATTCTTGTGATCCGTAAACACCTCATATGACACGCCATATAGATAGTGCCTCCAAATCTTCAACATGTGAACAATGGTTGCTAACTCCAAATCAGGAACTGGATAATTCTTCTCATGAATCTTTAACTGTCGTGAAGCTTAAGCAATGACTTTGCCATTACAACAACACCGCACCAAGTCCAATACGAGATGGATTACAATAAACTATATATGACCCTGAACCTGTGGGCAAAACCAACAACGGTGCCATAGTCCAAGCTATCTTGAGCTTCTGAAAGCTCGCCTCACACTTATCCAACCATTTGAACTGGGCACACTTCTGGGTCAACCTGGTCATCAGGGCTGCAATAAAAGAAAACCCCTCCATAAATCGACGGTAATAACCTGCCAAACCCAAGAAACTCCGGATCTCTGTAGCTGACACATGTCTAGGCCAGTTCTTGAATGCCTCTATCTTCTTCGGATCCACCTGAATACCCTCTGCTGAAACAACGTGACCCAAGAATGCAACCGAACTCAACTAGAACTCACACTTCAAAAACTTAGCATATAACTGACTATCTCTCAGAGTCTGAAGAACAACCCTCAAATGCTGCTCATGCTCCTCCCGGCTGCAGAAATAGATCAAAATATCATCAATGAAGACTATCACGAACGAATCCAAGTAAGGCTTGAACATTCGGTTCATCAAATCCATAAAAGCTGCTGGTGCATTGGTCAACCCGAATGACATCACCAAGAACTCATAATGCCCGTACCGAGTGCAGAAAGCTGTCTTAAAGACATCGGATGCCCTAATCCTCAACTGATGGTATCCAGATCTCAAATAAATCTTCAAAAATACATTAGCACCCTAAAGCTGATCAAACAAATTATCAATCCTTTACAATGGATACTTATTCTTGATTGTAACCTTGTTTAACTGCCGCTAATCTATAGACATCCTCATCGATCCATCCTTCTTCTTAACAAACAACACCGACACACCCCAAGGCGAGACACTAGGCCTAATAAAGCCTTTATCAAGTAAGTCTTGTAATTGCTCCTTCAATTCTTTCAACTCAAGCGGGGCCATAAGATACGTCAGAATAGAAATGGGTTGAGTGCCCGGAGCCAAATCAATGCAGAAGTCAATATCCCTGTCGGGTGGCATACCCGATAGGTCTGAAGAAAACACCTCAGGAAACTCACGAACAACATGCACAGATCCATAGAAGGAACCTCGGTACTAGAATTACGAACATATTCCAAATAAGCCAAACACCCCTTCTCGACCATACGTCGAGCCTTCATATATGAAGATAACCCTACGGGTAGAATGACCAATAGTCCCTCTCCACTCTAAACGAGGTAAACCTGGCAGGGCTAATGTTACAATCTTGGCATGATAGTCCAAGATAGCGTGGTAAGGTGATAACCAGTCTATCCCCAATATGACATCAAAATCAACCATGTCCAAAAGTAACAAATCTACTTGAGTCTCAAGACCCTTAATCACGACTATACATGAAAGATAGACACGATCTACCATAATAGAATCACCCACCGATGTAGACACATATACAAGAGCACTCAAGGAATCACTAGGCATGACCAGATACGGGGCAAAATAAGATGACGCATAGGAGTATGTAGACCTTGGATCAAATAGAACTGAAGCATCTCTACTACAAACCAGAACTGTACCTATGATAACTGCATTGGACGCCTCAGCCTCAGGCTTGGCTGGAAGAGCATAACATCGGGGCTGGCCCCACCACTTTGAACTATATCTCTGGGATGGCCTCCTACTGGCTGGCCTCCACCTTTAGCGGCCTGACCTCCACCTCTAATACCTCTACGTCCATATCTATCACCTCTACCTCCACCTCTAGCCGGTTGAGCGGGCGGTGGAACACTCGGTGCCTGTACCATGGTACATGAATCCTGATGCTGAGAGTTGCTCGGTGCTTGAGGGCAAAACCTAACAATATGCCTCGTATAGCCACAAGTATAACAAGCCCTTAGCTGCTGAGACTGATGACCCTGATGGCCTGAATAACCACTCTGAAAACTCTGAAGCGGTGGTGTACTGATAAGAGCTGGCGGTGCACTGTGGGGCAGTTGATCAGAATACTGCATATGAGAACTACGGCCAACTGGAGCACCATGAGAAGCTTGAAGCGCTGAATGAAACGGCCTGGAAGGATGGCCCCTACCAAAAGAATCCCTGCCTCCAGATGAGGCACCACTGAACCTGCCCGAGTGACGAGGCCTCTTGTTAGATCCCTGACCACTCTACTACGATAGGACCATCTCAACTCTCCTGGCCATATTGGCCGCCTTCTAAAAATAAATCTCGCTCCCCCTCTCCTTATCCATCTACAATCGAATAGGCTAAATGAGTCCTTCAATGAACCTCCTCACTCTCTCCCTCTCTGTGGGAAGTATAAGAAGAACATGACGTGCCAAGTCAATAAATTTGGTCTCGTACTAAGTAAAAGTCACAGAACCCTGCTGGAGATGCTCAAACTGCCCCCGATAGTTCTCCCTTTGAGTGATAGGAAGAAGCTTCTCCAGAAATAGCTGAGAGAACTGATCCCAAGTCAAAGCTGGTGACCTAGCTGGTCTAGCCAAACAACAATATCTCCACCAAGTCTTGGTAGATCCAGACAAACAAAAAGTAGCAAAGTCGACCCCATTGGTCTCCACTATCCCCATGTTCCGAAGAACCTCATGACAGCTGTCCAAATAATCTTGGGGATCCTCAGAAGAAGTACAACCCAAAATAGTAGTGTAGAGCTTGGTGAACTTGTCCAATATCCACAAGGCATCAGCAGACATAACTGACCTCTCTCCGGTCTGTGCCATAACACCATGCTGAACTACCCCAACTGGCTGAGCTGCTGGAGTCTGAAACTGGGGAGCCATCTGCTCAGGAGTGGGAGTAGCAGGAGTATCGGCTCCTCTTCCAGCCTGAGAGATAGCTGGGGCTACAGGATGCAAGCCTGCCCGGGCGACACTCTCCATATGGCCCACTAGACGGACCAGAGCATCCTGAAGTATCGGGGTGGCGATGAACCCCTATGGAACCTGAGCTGGCCCTGCTAAAACTGTCTGGGTTGGAACCTTATCGTCAAACTCAACCTGAGGCACCGCCGCTGGTGCTGCTGCTCGAGCTCTAGACTGAGCCCTACCTCTGCTTTAAGCCCTAGCACGACCTCAACCTCTTCCCCTCGCAGGAGCTGCTACTAGGGGCTCGGGATACTGGTCAACTGATGAAGTGGTATGTGTTCTCACCATCTACGAAAGAACAAAGTGGAAGTTCAATTAGCATTGATAAATCAAGTCGCACGACACGAAAGAATAGATGTGAAGTATTTCCTAACTCTGTAGCCTCTGGGGGATAATATAGACGTCTCCGTACCGATCCCTCAGACTCTACTAAGCTTGTCCATGAATTGTGAGACCTAAGCAACCTAGAGCTCTGATACCACCTTGTCACGAGCCGAATTTCTCACTCTCGGGAGTCGTGATGGCGCCTACTAGTGAAAGCTAGGCAAGCCAACCATTACATTATTTTTTTTTCATTTTTAAATCCTTTAGCAGTTGTGAATTAACATTGCATAATAAGCGGAAATAGTAAAGCGGAAGAATAAAATGTAATAATTTAATATTAATACCGATAAAAAAAATCCATAAGCCAAAAGGTACCCGGACCTGGTGTCACAATTTCACAGACTGTCTAAGAATACTACAAATAAGGGTCCAAAAGATAAATACAAGTTGTTTCAGAAATACATAGGAGAAACAACATAGAAATATAGAAGGAGATGCCAAGGCCTACGGATGCCTGTAGGACTACCTCGGGTCGCCTGATGGACTGAAGCAGTAATCTCACTGTGGTCCAAAAGCTGCAGCACCAGGATCTGCACACAGTGCAGCATATAGTATCAACACAACCGACCCCATATGCTGGTAAGTGCCTAGCCTAACATCGACGAAGTAATGACGAGGCTAGGACTAGACTATCAAATAAACATGTGCAGTTAAATTATATACAGTGGGAAAATAATTTATAGTTAAGGATAGGAGGGGGAAAAATGCTGGAGGGAATATCAAGTAACGACTGAAAATAATAGATGAATGTAAAGAACACCATAACTCAATTATCAACAAGAATAAGGAAATCAAAGACAAGTGCACAACATCACCCTTCATGCTTTTACTCTTGTACTCACCCAAGAAACAATCACAAAGTAATTTGGCAAAGGGAATCAATAATATTTCAATAAAATCCCTGCAAGGGAACAATAGCATAACAATAATATCCCAGCAAGGGAAATAATATCATTAATAATAACATCCCGACAAGGGAGATAATATCAAAAGCAACAACATCCCGGTAAGAGAGACAATATCATAAACCTCTCCTCTATTCCACAATTACTTCACAATTCAATTCTCAACTTGAGCCAACGCTCTACAATGTTCAATTATCAATAATACTTCCACAATAGAAATCACCATATAAAGCATGAACAATACGAAATGGAGTCACATTAAACATAGTATAAGACTCACAGGCATGCTTGACACCAACGTATGGATACTCGTCACCATGCCTATATGTAGTACTCAACAATTAACACATAGAAAATAGGACACAACTCCTAATCCCTCAAGCTAAGGTTAGACCAAACACTTACCTCGATGCCACGAACACAATTCAAGCCTCAACTACCGCTTTACTTCTTGTTTCCACCACCAATTCGCTTGTATCTAGCCACAATTTACTTAACGATATTAATAAATTCTAAATGAATCAATTTTAATGCATGAAAATAGCTTTTATAAAGATTTCCCCAAAAAGTCAAAAATCGACCCCGGGCCCACATGGTCAAAACCCGAGGTTCGAACCAAAACCTGAGGTTCGAACCAAAACCCGATTACCATTCACCCACGAACTCAAATATATAATTTGTTTTGAAATCAGACCTCAAATCGAGGTCCAAATCCTTAGAAATTGAAAATCCTAGGTTCTACCCAATACACCCAATTTCCCCCATGAAAACCCTTGATTTTAAGTTGAAATCATGTGAAAAGATGTTATATATTAAAGAAAATGAGTTAGAATTGACTTACAATCGATTTGGAGAAGAACCTTTCTTTAGAAAATCACCCAAGAGAGTTTAGGTTTTGAGAAAGTTTGAAAAATAAAGAATTTTCGACTAAGTTATGATTTACACAGGTGCAGATATCGCAAATGCGAACGATCATTCGCAAATGCGAACACTGTTGGAGTCGCAAATGCGACTGGAGCTTCGCAAATGCGAAGGTCACCCCCCTGCCCAGTCATCGCAAATGTGATAGTTAGTTGCAAATGCGAGCTTGCAATTGCGAGCCAGGCTTCGCAATTACGAAGCCTGCAGACCTGCAACACACCAACAATTTTCTTAAGTCAAATTTCATTGTGTGGCCTATCCAAAACTCACCCGAGCCCTCGGGGCTCCAAACCAAACATGCACGCAAGTTCAAAAACAACGTACAGACTTGCTCGTGCAATAAAATCATCAATATAACATCAACAACTATGAATTAAGCCTCAAATTTATGAAATCATTCAAGAACATCAAAATTTCTAATTTTCTCAAATAAAGGTCCGATTTATACCAAACAGACTCTGATTTTTACCAAACTTCACAGATTCAACTTAATTATTATTCAAACTTGTAACAGGCTCTGGAACCAAAATATGGGCCCGATAACATCAGTTTAAAATATCTTTTCATTTTCAAAAACTCTTATATTTTGCAGAAAATAATTTTCTTTAAAAATTTATTTCTCGGGCTTGGGACCCCGGAATTCGATTCCGGGCATACGCCCACATCCAACATTTTACTATGGACCCTACGAGACCGTCGGATCATGGGTCCGGGTCCATTTACCAAGAATGTTGACCAAAATCAACTTTATTCAATTCTAAAAGCCAAATTCCTTATTTCACTTAATTTTTGCATAAAAACTTTTCGGAAACGTGCCCGGACTGCGTACGCAAATTGAGGTGAGACAAAAAGAGGTTTTTAAGGCCTCAGAACACAGAATTTACTTTCAAAATGAGTAAAAAGGTCATCACAATTATGTTTTCTTTCTGAACCTGGACTTGTCGCTTGAGAATTTTAGCAACCTGAATCTTTTGAACTTCTTCCTTTACGCCTAGCATGAGCAATCTTTCTTTCCTATGATTAAATCTGACCTGCGGCAAGCTCTATCTTGGTAAGAACACAATTATAATCACAAGAGATCTAAATTAAAACACGTATATCTCCCAATCTATTATGAGTTATGTGGTGAAATTAAAGCCCTTGAAGTCTAGTTTTCAAAACTTCAAACCGTTCTTCATTTTATATTCCTATAAAAAGTTATAGGCATTTTACTAAAGACTATCTTGTTAGATAAATGGGTTGTGTTTTTGGGCGCCCAGGGGGAGCGGGTAGCCCGTCATAATGCCAAAACCAGAAACAATTTTATTTTGGTGCCGTGGAGACCGCTGGGCTTTGGTTGTGGCGCCCAAGACATGAAATTGATATAAAAGGGATGGGGAGAGAGAAAATAGCTTCATTCTTTAAAGATTAAACCTCTCATCTCATCCTCAAGTCATCCAAGGGTTCTCATACTACCTAACGTGAGTTTTCAATGCGATTAACGTTAGAATACTACTTTCAAACATCAATTCTAATAATATTTCATCTCAAAATCACTAGATTCTCAACAAGAACTCAAGAACAATTTCTCTCTACTAATCTAGGGTTTCGCGATTCAAGTTATGTTTCGTAACTGCTTTCAACCATGATTATTAGAAAGGTTTATGGTTGACACTTGTTCATGTCACACCTCCTTTTTCCGAGGAATAGAGTGTTAAAGTGACATTATTCGAAATGGAATTATTAATTTAATTTAGAGTCGCCACTTGCAATAATTTTATGGTGTCCCAAGTCACCAGTTTATTTTAAAATCCCAAATCGAGAAAGTTTGACTCTGTTTTAAAGTTCGCAAAAATCAGAAGACCGGGTAAGAAATTCTATTAACATGAGAGAAGGTGTTAGGTATTTCAGGATTTTGTGGTTTTAGCAAGGTCGCTTTTATCATACCCGGCTTAATTAATTAATTACGTATTTAAAATCTATGTGTATTTTACCTTTTTCCTCTTTTTAATTATGGCGTTATGGATTTATCTTTAAAACGGATCACATGTGTATAAATCCGCATTAATTGGTGCGCTAAAATAATGTCACGCGTATGTGTACACAATTGATCACGCTTTATTAATTAAGAGGATTGTTCAGCCAAAGTCACACGAATGCGTACTTTGATTTTATTTTGGGAATCATAATTATGTCATGCGAACGTATACACAATCACGATAATAAATTAAAAGCACACATAATGCATACTGCGAATATTGAAAAGTTGTTTAATATTCCTAAGGTTTAGGACTAAATGATTGTGGAAAGAATTTACATCCATACTGTCCCATTAACTCACATCAGTTTCTTCAGATGCTGACTCCCTGCCTTTCTAGTGTCATATTTTTTGGTGCAATAATTACAAATTTATAACTGCAACTACTCCTCTAATTTTAGTCACATAACTTTGATCCCGGCACATAAAAATACAAACTTGTATCCAGCATATGAATTCAAAAACACTCGAGCTAGAATTCTCATGGTGCCATCTCATTCATAGCTATAACAAGCTATCGCTAAAGAACCAGATAAAAGTGAAATTTTCTAGAAGACCACCGGTATAGTGCAATATATATAAAATCAAATATATGGATACAAAACTTCACATGCTATGAAATGTTGTAGGAAAATGAGCTTATAAATGAACTTCTGGTGACATACATCATGTTGAAAATTAATATCACTTCTGCAGTTTACCTTAAAAGTTTAATCAATGCATGCCACTCAATTGTAACTTAATGGTCAAAATATAATAATGAAATATAAAGAAAAAGATAGATGGGAACAAGAATAGATAGAAAACCTCTATAGAATGCCAATTCACATCATAATTAAGAAGCAACAATAATCACAGATCCTAAGGAAAAAAATAATATTAGAACAGCTTAAAGATATTCTCATCTAAAGAAACTAATTTATGCTTCTATTATACATTTTTAATAGAAGACACAAATAATGTTTAATCGAATCATGAGATAAGGAAATCAGTATCAGAAATTACAGAGAGAATTCACGGTTTCACAATCCACTTAAGTTCATTGTCAAGTAATACGACAAATAGGACTGCAAATCAGTTCATATCGCCATTTTAACGCAAACATTCAACAAATCGAGCCGTGAAAATAATATTTTTGCATCAAAAGAGAAATATGAATACATGAGTAGTCAGAACTTACTTATTGGAAGTAAGGGAACAGTACGAAGTACCAAATAAAGGCCAGAAATTAGTCGGAATGGGCTTCAGCAGAGAAGAGCAACAGAATCAGCAAACGAACAACACATTTACAACTCAAACAACCTTCGAAACCCAGAAACGATCAAGCCATGTTGCAGAAATTTCAATAGCCTTTTAATTTATTTATTTATTTTGATTTTTTCTCTCTTCTTTTGAAATTTTCTAGATCTTAAATTTTGAAGTGCAAGCTTCTTCTCTTGTTAGTTCAGGCGCGTGTATGTGATTGAGTGTGTGTGCGTGAGGTGCGAACGAGAGAGTAGGTGTGAGAAGTGTATGTAGATTGGAGGGAATGAAGAAGAAGAGGGTGGAGACTAGGGTTTTCTAACAAAGGGGGGGGGGGGGAATCATTTT